TTTTTTGATTTTTCAGACCTTCAGTCGTATTTTCAACCAAAAGCTGCAACGAGAGAAACAGAGAGAGCAGCTATGGGTCCTTCAATATCAGAGGTCAACAAATATTGACGATTTTCAAGCCGTTTGGTGTGAAAGTAAAAAAAAACGAGTTTTTTTTTTTTTTTTTGGGGGGGGCTTTTTGGGCCTTTCTTGTAGGACAGTGGATAAAGTCGTAAATCAGGGTGAGAGAGAGAGAGTAGGGCATGACATGTGAGAAAGGAGCCACAGATTGGATCCAAACCCGGGCCCAGGAGTTTGTCTGCAATGTTTTGGTAACTAAAAACAAGAAATTATACATGAAATATGTTTTAAGCTCTGGTTTCGACAGAGGTATCGAGATCATCTGATTTTTACTAATATCGTTACCCTAACCCCAAATTTCCAAATACTGGTCTTGTGACAACCCTAACTCTAAGTGTCTAATATTTCTGCAGACTGGGTCACACTGGAGGTAGTTTAAAACCTGGCTTTGGTTTTTCTCATGTATAAATATTCTCCAAAGGCGCCCATGAATATCTGGGTTATATGAGAATTACTTTGTATTACTTCTTGTAGTTAAAAATAAAACAGTGGGAGGTATTTGCCACAAACAAATCAAAATGTAAGAAGTTTAATTTTGAGATTATTTTATCCACTTAACACAGAAAAAGCTGAATTCATCTGCAACATTTTTGGGCGTTCTTCTATCGATTGAATCTGTGAGAAAACCAGAAAAATGAGCCTCTCGGACAGCGAGGAGGAGGATCTGCAGCTCTGTGTCTGAATCAATCTGTGGATAAGTATGGCCGATCGATCCCCCAGCAGCCCATCTACAGTTAAGCACTTCACTGGATGTGCACTAATTGTCCTGTTGACATTAATTGTCATTAAAGGGCTTCAAACGGCCTCCCGGCTGTGAGTTACACCCCGTGCCGAGGTTGCAACCCATTTGTTTATTGGTGACATCACAGCTTGGGACTGTTAAATCACTACCTGGTTGACCACTGCGCAGGACGGCTTCATATGATGACATCATCAGCCTCTCTGTTGTCACCATTAAATGCTCAGAGTTTTCGAGGACCCCTCTTTTAGCCAGGGGGATTAAATGTCTAGGTGTGTGTGTGTGTGTGTGTGTGTGTGTGTGTGTGTGTGTGTGTGTGTGTGTGTGTGTGTGTGTGTGTGTGTGTGTGTGTGTGTGTGTGTGTGTGTGTGTGTTGTGTTTGTGTGTGTGTGTGTGTGTGTTCATGCCCCAGCCCACAGCTCTAACTTCCTGAGGGGGGAAGTCTAAAAGGCCCCCCTGCTCTGCTGCCCCACCCCTCTAAATGGGCTGAATCAATCAGATTCATGTGGCCTAACAAATTGGTTGTGTGTGTATTGGCGGTGGATGTGAATGGGGGCCAAGGTGCATAAGAAAGGAGCTGTGTGTGTGTGAGTGTGTGTGTGTGTGTGTGTGTGTGTGTGTGTGTGTGTGTGTGTGTGTGTGGAGGGGAGAGGGGGCAGAGATGGACACACACCGATGCAAGCCTTACACATCCCTGGAAAAGGGGTCACGACCCCCTCCCGCACTCAAACAGCATTTCAGAGATGTAGAGACACGCTGAGGCCGAGTGCTGACCCACCACAGAGCAGCAGGGACTCGACAGAGACACGAGGGGAGAGTCATCGAGATGAGCTTTACACGACAAACTCATCTCATCACCCTGTTTGACTGTTTTATTTTTTTTGTTTTTTTTACATTATTCGGTTTAAATCTGTAAAATAAAACTTCTAACAGCTACAAACTTTATTCTCCTGCAGCTGAAAGCTCAGACTCGTCATGTCTGAAGCTTGTTTAATAACTTTAAGTATATTAATCAATAACAGCTAAAGTCTTCATACTTTATGAAACAGGAAATGAAGGCTTCTATATTAAGACTCTATATTAAGAGTCTATATATTCTGAGACTATGTTGTATCTTTATGATGTCATTACTTTACTTTACATGCATTGTAGTGACGCACCGATACATGGTTCAGCATCAGCACATCAGCAAATAATGTGGCATGAACTGATGTCAGGACATGATGTTTACTTGTTGTGCCAAATCAATTTAATGCTGACGTCTGGTACATCTAACTACTGACTCAGAGAAGAGGTTTTTTATTGGTCAGAGGAAGTCACCTGCTGAACAGACTCTTGCCTGTTTTCATCGTCAAATCTCTAATGCAATTCAAAACAAGGTGGAAAGAGCGAGCAGCATTGGGAGCAATTGAACAATTCCTGTTAAGATATTTAAAGTTACATAATCTTAACAGGAATCCTTTCAAAATAAAAACCACAACAGGTACATAACTTAAAAAACCTTTAGGTTGTTCAGATTTTTAGCCATTAAAAGTATTTTGGCATACTCCAAAAAATGACAATAAAAATAAGCAAGAACAAAATATCCACGCGCTGTATTTATTTTCCTGATGACACTTTAAAAATACCTTTGATATCTGCCAATTTTTTTTAATTATAATCATTTTAAATAAGTTCTGGGGAGAACATAAAATATTTGTTCGTATTAATACATTAAACTAGTTTTGGGGTCAGTTTGTTGTGTGTGTTAGTTTAAAAACAAAAATTAATAAAACAACACGTCCAATCTTCTATTTTTTAATTAATTATAATTTTTTTGTATTATTTTGGTTAATTGAGCGACATGACTTTAAGCTCGTTTTACTGATTCTAGATCTGAAGCTCTTAAAGACTCATTTAAGGAAATTACATCAAAATAACCAGAGCCCGACTGATCAACCAGCCAGCTGATAATCTCGGCCGATATTAGCATATCAAGTGACTATCAGTATCGGCTAATTTTTATCGCAGATATGCGCCGATATTACTAGATTTATTCACCAGTCAAAAAGCATTTCATTTGAGTATGATTGTATTACACTAGCAGTTCTCTTTCACCAGCAGAGTAGAAATTAAAACAAATCTTCTTTCTTCAACATTTGATCTATTTTAAAGATTGTTTATCATCCCAGCTGTCCTGATGAAGATCTAAAGCTCCTCATAATGATGTGAAATCACTGCAGTGACCTCAATGTGTGTCAGGTGACGTTTCGTTCCTCTTCTGAATGGACCCAGTGTTTGCACGTCTGCTGTTTTGCATTTTGTTCTTGGATTAATTATCTCTGAAGTAACACATGATCTTCAGTTAATGTGACCTGATTACTAAAACAAATCAAATGTACTGCACAAACCCTGAGGAAATCAATCACAGGCCCCTGACGGAGGACTGAAGGGATGGTGATTACTGCCGCCCTGGTGGCCAGAAGCTGAACATGTTTTCCTCTTGAGTCCTTCCTGAGTCCTATAAGCATTCAGAAAACCTCCCCTCTTCTCCCCCCCTCCCCTATATGAGCCCGAACAATGCCCACACCTTGAACAGGCCCGCTGACTTAAGGGTCCATTGTGCTGCAGAAGAGAGAGAGCATGGACCAACAAGTGGCTCTCCTGCTCTGCTATGATAGGACACCACTGTCTGACAGTCTGCGGTGGGCCTTTATGACTTGTTATGCCACTGAAGCCCCCCCCCCCCATACCCTCAACCACTCTCCAATCTCCTCATTAAGAATGCTGAATGAATGCGCTACCTTGGCTTTCACTGGCCTCATTTGCACCAAGAAAAGGAGGAGGAAGGAGGGAGGGAGCAGGAGAGGAAGGGAGGGAGAAAGAGCAGTGAATGGCACCATAACATAACAATGCACTTGGAGGCTCAGTTGGCAAACACAGCTGGGCCGCCAACAGTGAAGCATTTAATGAGTCATAACTCTGAAGAGACAGTGGGCTCCTAAAACCTCTTTTATTGTACCGCAGAGTCTCTAATGCACACAAACTCTTTGAATGACTATGAGTTTATAGTACTTAAAGGGTCATTCTGTTTTTTTTAAACCTGGCCATCATTTTTGGGGGGTCTACAGTACATAATAAACAGGTATAAATACTTTGGATTGGTCCAGTAGATCACTTCTAGGGATGTTCCTAGGCAACTTGGAAGTGTGGCTAACATTAGCATTGCTAGCACCGCCAGCCTTTAGTCCTCCTTGAAGGTTAACATCCTCCTGCCCGTGCTCCATGTGGTTACACGCCGCTCTGGTCGATAATCCAGTTGAACCCGACACAGCCTCTGTACATTTGTATGGATCAAAACCAAGGAGAAAAAATACTGCCGACATGCTGCTCCTACGAGATGCTAACTGTTCACGTGCTCGTTTACATCCAGGCAGTAGAGCCAGAGGAGAAAGCCCATTAGCCAGACTACAGCCCCATCTAGTGGCTGGAGGCTGCATTACAGTTTGAGCACAGAATCTGACCAACTTTTGAAAATTAGTAACTGTCTAGTAATTTTTTTTTTTTTTTTTTAAGATTTATTTTTGGGCTTTTTATGCCTTTAATGGAGAGATAGGACAGTGGATAGAGTCGGAAATCAGGGAGAGAGAGAGTGGGAATGACATGTGGGAAAGAGGCCACAGGTGGGATGTGAACCCGGGCCGCCTGCTTGAGACTACAGCCTCAATACATGGGGCGCGCGCACTAACCACTGCGCCACCAGCGCCCCTAGTAATTCTTTGTTGAAGAGGAAAATGATTTTTAAACCAGAAAACAGCGGTTACATCACTCTTTTAAAAATCTACTAGACTGAGTCCATTGACAAAAACAGAAGACAGACGTGAAGGGAGCTTTCGCAGTGTGCCTTTGGTGTTTTAGGAGGTGAATGATGACCAACATGATATGTAAAACATAGTAATAAAAGAAACTCTTAAAAAACAGATTAGCCAATCAGGGAAGCATTAGACCAGCAACTCATTTGTTCTTCAAAGTCAAATGAGTGTTTATGTCCAGGAGCTGCAACAACAATCTGTTTGCATGTTCTGGTGTATCACTCTCTTTGAAAATAACGGACTACTTTGACATGAACAGTCAGTCATATCTGAATAAGTCAAACTCTTACCTCGATCACCTGCTTCGAGTCCAGCCTGAAGTTAAAGTCCCCAAACAAGTAAAACGGCAACTTCTCATACCGCTGGTCCGTGATCCTGAAAAACAGGAGACACACATTTGTTAGTAATAAAGTTTGAACAACTTTTTTATAAACTCATTTCCTGTTTATCTCTTCATATATATTTGAAATGACACTCGAGTTCCTGCATGAGATTAGGTCCTGTCATTAGATCATTGACCTGACCTTAGGGGGTTTAGTTTCTGAGGACCACAGCACCACCTGCTGGTCTGAACCACTGCATCAAAAAGACTTGACCTTAACAGAGTCATTGTTGTTAACCTCTGACATCTTCTTCTTGGGCATTCATTTGAAGGCATCACACCGGGTTATGGACTTTATGATGGAGCACAGAGAGAGAGAGAGACGATAGACATGTGAAACTTTAGAGAACACACAGGAAGCTTCTGATGGATGTTACCAGCTGAGCATGAAATACGAGTGTTTGAGAAGCTTAAAAAATCTTAAATCTCTGGACAAATCTTTTGCTTGATTGATTGTCCAATGATATCCTTAACATGTTTAGATCTATCTCTGTACAAAGAAAACAAATAACTGAGAGATTAAGACAGCACAGAGCGCTCACAGTTAATTCTGTCCTCTTTAGTTAACACGCATGAGGGTTTAAAGGAAATTATTTTTCAGTCCAGGCAGCTAATTTTCAGCTGACTCCTCGATTAAATTAAGAAATCTTGATCATTTCCTTTGATGATCGGCTTTGATGGCAAAGAAAATCCACTTTAGGGAGATGATCAAAGAGAGCGAGGACCGTCCAAACTCTGCAGAGACCAGTAAACATCTCTCCTCTGTTTGTCCTGCGATGACACAACAAGGGCAGCTGCCTTTTAAAAAAAAAAAAAAACCACCTTATGCAGAGACGCCAGCAGTGAACTTCACCCAATATTACCTGGACGAGCTGCGAGCTGCGAGCTGTCAACATTTCTAGAAGTGGAAATTTAAAGGAGTTCACCCTGCAAGCCTGCCAAATCTACAAAGCACAGAAGAATGTTCAAGCAAAATGTATTCAGAGGAGTTTGAAGTGAGAGAGAGAGTAAGTATGAACTTCAGGGAACACGTGTCTTTATAAAAAATACAAAGCATAAGTGAGTATCTGTCAAAGGACTGAACCTGAGGATTCAGATTCTAAAAATCTAGTTTTTAAAGTTTAAAAATAAGTATTAAACAAATATAAAGATAACACAGAAGGATTTGTGTTTCTGAAATGATTGCGACTCGAATTTATCGTTGTTGTGTATTTTTTTTTTTTTGATTTATTGATGTGTGACTCATGTCGTACGTTGTTTTCTCTCATAGTGTATTTAAAGGTTTTCCTATCAGAGGATGTTCTGTAAGAGGGGTGGGCATAATAAGCCCAAACTTCAGCCCACAACTGTAAAGTGGGTTTAATCTAGGGGGGGGGGATCCATACAGCATAGGATCGTGATATTTTGAGTGGGGATATTATATCGATTAATGGCCACCAAGAATTGATATTTTTATTATATTAACAGCAAATAGGCTTTTTACATTTTTAATTGCTGCAGGAAAACATTAAAATATATTTTGCTTTCACACAGTCAGAAAACAGACTTGAAAACTCTGATGCTTCAGCTTCTGATAGATTACATCTAAGACATTGATTTTGCTCTTTTAATGCCACGAGGACTTTTATTTTTTTTATTTTTATTTTTTAAATCGTGCACATTTGAGTCGTGCAGATGTTTTTAATACTGCATGCAGCATTAGGGGTCAGAAGAATTATGCAGTACAGATCCTCTCTTTCATGGACTTCTTCCAAATCCAGAATCCTTTCTGAAGCATCCCACTTCTTAAAAAAAAGGTATTTAAGTGAACTATAATGAAGTCATCACCTACTTAAAAGCAGCTCTCCTACAGAGCACAGAGAGGGGAGTAAGGTGGACGCGGTGCAGCCTCGTGTGTAATTAATGATTCAAGATGCTTGGCTCGCTGTCTCCTCTAACCGTGCGGATAAATCTCAGCGTGGACTTCCCAGGCCTGATAACAATTTATTTATGAGGCCGTAAAGAGAGAAGGAGCCTCTTCTTAGTGGTGGGTCTGTCGTAAAGCATGCAAGCTTCTCCTCTGTGAGGCTGAGACGAGGAGAGAGAGGAGGCGGGGAGCATGGCGATTATATTAAATAGAGAGCGTGTAACTCTGACATCTCATTATATCAAAGAGAAACCAGAGAGCATTAATACCAGCAAGGAGTTCTAACACAGAGACATTCCCTTTAACCCATTTTATTAGGAAATTGTCTTGACAGAAATTCCTGACGTATAATAAATTAAAAGAAAGGCAGATTGGAGGGACAGAAAAGTTGACTGATGAAGAATCAGAAAAATATGAAGAAAAAGCACTTTTTGGTTTTAAAAAGCTTGTCAAATAGTTCAACCGTTTTATTTTGTTTGTCTTTATAGTTTCACTTATCATGTTGAAAACAAATCCAGATAATACAGTTATTTTTACACAATAATTCTTTTTTTTTTTTAGTCTAAATATTTGGCTCAATGCGTAAAACCGAATATGAGTGACTGTTTCATCATTTTGTTTTCATCACAGTAACAATTAGCCGACATTTGTTTTTAACACAGGAGCGTTAAGGTTTGTTAGATGTTACAAATATTTTTGTTCTTCTTTGACAGTATTACTACACACTCTTAGCAGCAACCTCCGGTGTTGGAAAGGGAAGCTAATGCTAAACTGTAAAATCCTGCAGTTCCTCGAGTGTCCACTAGAGGCTGGCTGCAGAAGCACAGGAAGTCACATACACACCCATTCTAAAAAGCCTGTTTTTACAGCAGAGATTAACATGTTTACAGCCTGGTTCAAAAAACAAATAGGTCTGATTAGCTCATGTCTCGATCGACACACACTGAATCTTTTTGATAACTCAGGCGCAAAACTGACATCATTGTTTCCCCTACCATTATATTAGGGGGCCCCCCCGCCCCCCTTGAAGGTCAAGTAAAAAAATATATGTATTATTACTATTATTTTTTTAAAGATTTCTTTTTGGGCTTGTTGTGCCTTTATTGTAGAGATAGGATAGTGGATAGAGTCGGAAAATCAGAGAAAGAAGTCATTTAAGGATACCTTTCTGATAGAAAAGGACAGCTGTCATTAAAAGTAACGCATGAACACCAAGATTCCTTCAAGTGTCAGCAGGTCGGCGTGTAGGCGGGACTGTTTGTAAAGGGGCTTCAAACCCGCCTCAGCTCCAGCTCTCAGCCTGTAGTTAGGTTGACTGAAAGTTAGACTGAGACAGCATTTCCGGCATGGAGACCGCCATCGATGGGACTCCAAAGCCCCCTGCAGGAACAGACGGGTGACCTCACTCAGGCTTAGTCAGGTAATATTTACAGTGTATGAAATGCTCCCACACGTGCTTTACACTGAGCTAGACATTAGAAAAAAGTATCCTAGAGGGCGCGGCCTCGTACAGACCTCGACTTCTGCTTTGCTGCCGACCATTTGACATTTAGCCGCCTGTCCCTGTAACCGGGTGTAGTAACATCATGTTTATATCTAGTTTACAGTTCCTCACCAAATTGAACAATCTTTCCTCAAAAAGTTCCACCACTTTCCAAAGTATCCTCCTTCGTTGTGTTTTGCTAGTCTGGCTTCAGCTGTTGGCTACACAGCTCAACACTGCCCCTACAGTTTTCAGTGGTATTGCAATTTTGTTTGCTCTGTATCAGAAGCTTTCAGAAAACAACCAGAAATATGGAAGAAATGAATACAGAGTCTGTATGAATAGTGGACATAGAGCATTTGAGCCTCTGCAGTCAAATCAACGATAAAGCAGGTTATGTTTAAAGGTGACTACATTCCCGACCTGTCAATCATAAGAGCTGCGCTTTATAATCCAAATATGATCAGTTGTGTCTCAAAATAAAGAAGCAGTAATAAGAAGTTAAAGCCATAAAAAGGTCTGGACCAGTGGGTGTTGTATACAGTTTATGAGTGTGACACCTCGGTGCTAAGAGACTCAGCTCTATTCAAACTGTGTTAGTGTTCACTTTATTCTGCGGGGAGTCTAACGGAGGGCAGTAAACCAGCCGTGTGCGGGCGTCACTGCTGTTGTTACAGGCGTGGGAACTCCCTGTGCTAACAGAGAATCCAGCTCGTCTGTTGTTCTGTGACAAGATGAGCAAAGGTTAGCAGAATGAAATCATCAGAGATCCAAAGTATCACAGTAAGGATGTAAAAAAAAAAGATGCAAGAATGGGAAGAAGTGAGAAAGTATGTTTAAAGAGTGGAGGGAAGGGGGGCGCTCTGATTGGGGGGGGGGGGGGGGGGTCTCACCTACATGTTACAGGCACCAGCCCACCTCCCCATCTGTCTTCAAGAGGAAGTTAAAAACCAAATTGATTAGAAATTAGATTCTGGGCTTCTGCAGTATAACTGTAATCTGTTTCAGTCACTCACCTTTTGTTTTTGGGGCTTTTTATGCCTTTTATTTAGAGACAGGACATTGGAGGACGATGCCTGTGCATATGTTTGTTTTAAGTTCAGAACATGAAGAACATTTTATTCTAATCAGTTTGCACAGACAACATTAAAACATGTGTGTGTTTACGTTGTTGGAATCAAAACTGTCTGAATTCTTTAAAAATGATTTGAAGAGCTGTGTGTGTGGAGAAATGTACCTTTAAGAAAATGTGCAAGGAGAGACTTTATGAAACTGGAACCTTGTGTGTTTTTTCCTCTTTATTTACGTGGAAGTCAAAGACTCTTTTTTTAAATGTTTTTTTTGGTTTTGGTTTCCAAGTGATTATAACTGGACAGACCATCTAGATATCTCGTTTTCTCTTTGAGTGAGGGGCGGGCTAAATAAGATTTATTCTCCTCCCTGCTACTTTACCTAAAAAATTATTAATCTTTTTGAGAACATAGTGTGTTTTGACAACAAATAAAAAGGAAAATGAAACTAAATGAAATATGGAGCATGCACACTAACCACAAGTCTCCTGGTGTGACCCTTTATGAATATCTTTTGAATGCGTGTTTTTTCAT